CCCTCCCTTTCCTTTCCTGCCGCCCGCTCGCTGCACGTAGCCTTACGGGGCACGCCCAGTTCACAATCAGGAATATAAGGGTGCGGCATTTCGCCCCCCCCCCCCCTAACCCCCCCCCCTTACCCCTGTACTTCAAACCCCCAGCCCCCCCCCCCCCTCCTTCCCTCTCCCCTATTAAACTAATTAATGCAATAGCGTGAAGCCCTCTGGCCTCTAAAAGGAACGCGTTCCCACCCTGAGAGAAAGGTGACGTCCAAATAATAGGGTCCTCCAAAGGTGTGCTGCAGCGAGAAATGACATTTAGAACGATATCTTTGGGATGTCCAAACGACATCGTGATAAAAGAACTGTCGCTCCAACATCGAAACAACGTCAGTGCTAACGACTGCGAAATCGTTTTCGACATATTTTATTTGATGTAATTATGAAATCAGTTTCTAGCTCAGCACCAAAACGGAGGTCCGAAATGACGTTCGCACCCCTTGCGCACATTTCTTACACATTTTAAATGACTAAGTCAATTCTTCTATTGTTGGAAGTCGGTATTGTTGGAATAGCAACAACTCACAGGGGCCAGGGGCCATGGCGCTTCTGAGGAAGAGCAAGAAGAGGGAAGGGGCGTGTGTGTACAGCACCGTGCGTTAGTAATGGGGGAGCATGCGACCGTGCCCATTATACCCGCTATTACCGGGGGAAGGTCGTGTGCTGCTCCACTGTCGGAGGTCAATACGCCGATCGTGTTCGACACATTAGCGGTGTATATATCTTTGTGGTGCAGGCGGTAAATCTTTCCCCATCCTGTAGGTGCATCCCCCCCTCCCTCCCCCTAAAAGCCCTCCGTGCAGTGCGAGTGGCTGGTCACTGATTCCATCGCGCCCAAAATGCATTGTTCAGATTGTTATAGCACGGAGGTGGCGCGTGCAAAGGGGGCTGGAGGGGGTGGGGGTTGGGGCTCCTTGTCCAGCGGCCGTTCACATTCCAGTTTCTCCACTGCCGTCTGGCAATGCACAGTTCCTTGAAAACTGAATACTTAAAAAGAAAAAAATAATCAAAGTGCCCTTTACTTGCTGTACATTGAAATCCACTACCCCGCCCTCAAAAACAAAAATTCAGTCAAAAATCACAACAGCAAGCACTGGCTCAAAAACCACAGCAACCGGCTGGTTTGAAAAACGACCCCCAAGCGTCGCATGCAGCAGAGCACAGCGCACCCCCCGAACTTCAAGCGCCACCCTCTTGTCCCCGCCGCTCGGTGAGCAAAACCGAATCCGAATTTGGAGTGACATTTCGGCACGGTTTAGGAGGGGAGTTGGGTAAGGGGGGAGGGTTGCGTCTGTGCGCTCCGCACCGCAGTGCCGCACCCAGACAGGGGCGGTCGCAGGGTGGCGGGGAAAGGGGTGAAATCAGCAGCAGCAGAGACCTGAAGCAGAGAGGAGCGAATGTACACAGGTGTACTCGTCCGGGCGAGGGAGACAGTCTGATG